AACTTTACGTTTGATCCACTCCACATAAGAGATATACAACCATCTGGAACCAAATTTTAACAGTTTTAGAACTCGCAATGTTTTATCATTATTAAGAATCTATATTCATATTTTATACAATTAATTAATTATACTTTATGGATTAAACCATTTATGTATATGCAGACAGGTTCCAGATGCTTGCCAATGCAAAAAATGGCGACCGCTGTGTAAAGCATGCAATTCACGACGACCCCCGCCATACAATAATACCAATTATTCTTATATTACCACGCACCTATATGATTATATATATTCATGTTATATGTATACAAATTATTGCTTTATTGTTCCTTTAAACAAAGATCTCTTTGTATGTCCCCTTCTTTATTATATACATATCAGACTTTCGCCATCATCCAAAATGGCGGTAAGAATACTTCCTGCACACGTCACTATGGACATACGCATAACCATTCGGAAATATCCAGTACACACACCGGAATTGAATAGAACAATCAGGAGACTATTTAAGCAACAATGGACCCAATCAGCAGATATTCACTTTTGAGAAAGCTGCAAGCGAAATGTGTCAAGTGGAGACTAAGGACAAAACTCAAGGACTGGTTTTTATTTATAGTTTACTTTTTAAAGTATAGTTTTAGAAAGTTTATTATTATTTTTTTGCATAAATAAAGATTCCTTTTATTATCCAGTCATATATTGTACCTCATATTCTTACCATCTTTTTGCTGTTCTGGGTGCACGCACATCCCTCGGTGGGGATTGTTTCACCTAATGCTCCATATACTAGAGCAGGTAATTGCTCTAGTACAGGCTTCCCCAAACTCCAGATGTTGCTGAACTACAACTCCCATGATTCTATGAATGAAATAGATAGGCTGAGAATCATGGGAGTTGTAGTTCAGCAACATATGGAGGGCCGGAGTTTGGGGAAACCTGCTCTTGTAGATATAAGTAGATCTAATTTTTACCTATTTAATATCCACTTACATCCAATACCATTGGTATATATCTTTATCTTATTTCATATGATGAACCTCACCCTTTTGAGAACCACACAGTGTTGTGCCATCACAAATAAATCCATAGGTGGGGATTATTCCGTCCAGGCTCCTTAAATAGAGCTTATAAAGCTCTAAAAAGTGTTATTGTTCCTTTGGTACCAAATACTATATTTATCACTATTACCATTGCATACTGAAACATTATTGTATTTTCTTTTTTTTAAGACACGCTATTGTGGAAACTACTGCCATCTTTTGTATGTATGTTTTTATATTTCTAGCGTTGTTAACCTATCTGTTTATTTTATACTCGGGAGACTTCGCTGAACACAAATATTAGTGTTTCAAAACAGTAAAATGTATCACAACAATGATATCATCAGTGAAAGTGCCGTTTTTTGCGTGAGAATTGCAGAAAAGGTCACTTTCACTGATAATATCATCGCTGTAATGAGCTTTACTGTTTTGAAACACTAATATTTGTTTTCAGCGAAGTCTACCGAGTAAAACAGTACCTCTCATGTACAGGTTTTAGGGTGTCTTGGAAAGTTACACGGTTAAATATGGTGCTAGCAAATTAAATTCTCTGGACTTTCGGCCTGGGTTGTCAGGCAGGCCCTCAAAATTGCAATCAATAGAATTACTTAATTATGTAAAAATATTACATAAATATGCTCGTAGAATTTACAGATTTATAAAAAAAAAAATTATGAAATTATTTATGTAATTATGTATATGGACATATGTATTTTTAATTTTTTAATTTATTTATATATACATCGATATATATATATATATATATATATATATATATATATATAATTTCATTCTATGTGTATTTTGATATAAACATATACATATATATAGAATATTTTTTTTTTTAAATTAAATTTTTAAAATTATTTATTTTTATAATATATATACACATAATATACATCGTTATAATATATATTATATATATATACACGTGTGTATTTTTACTTTAAATGTATTTGTATATTAATATATGTATATATTAATAAAAAACTAAAAAAAATTGCACATACTTCTGGCAACAATATTCTTTACTCCAAGATATTGTCTCTTGCAATTAGATTTTAGACACTCAAGCTTGCCAGAACTATACATGTAGGACACATTTTGCAGTATCCCTAAATGGCACTAACTTTAGATTAGTAGATAGCATTTTGACATAGAATTAGTTATCAAATTTTCTCTGCTGGTACCAGCAAAAACTAGGTTGAGCCCGCTCCTTTCTATATGAGTTACAGCCTTTAACAGTGATTCCTATAGCCTCATTCAAGGATCATTGTAACAATATTATTTGGTTATTTTACTAGATACATTTCGTTACACAGGCTCAATTTGTTAATTAGTATCCCCTGAGATTGCCGTTTTTTTGTTTCACTGGCATCGACTTGGAAACACTATAGATTCAGGCTCAGTCTATATTTCCAGCAATATACGAACTAATTGATTACTAATCGATTTTCATGATAACTTAAGACAGTGTACTATTTTTTTTTATTTCTATTTTTTCAGTTTATTCTTTTTTTCTCATTAATAGAAATATTTTAATCAATCAATAAATTAAATGTTATGTTTAAATTAATCCATACCATAAGGCAAGTGGCTCTCTATCAGATATCTTCTACTTAGGGTTATACCCCTTTCTTGCCTTACTAATTAAGACCTTTTTTGTTCCAACTCTTTCCCTTTGAATTACATTTAAACAGTATCTCACTTAGCTGGCTGTCACCTTAGGAATATTAATAGCAGAAGTGTCTGCAGTATTTATGTTATTCATTTAGACAGACAGAAATTCCCAGTGAAAGGAAATGAATGCTATTTAAATCACTCACTCCAAAATGAAGCTTATCAACTCTTGTATAAAGGCAGCTGAATAGTCATTTCCTCTGGACATGAGCAATACATGCAAATATCCAAAATTAAGCCCTGTACTCAAACTCCAACTACTCCTGAGCAGCAGCAATGACTATAGTATGCATCAGCCCCAATGCAAACAATAAAAATCAAAGCAAAACTCTTAGGTGAGTCCTACACTAACAATTTACCTTGCTTCCTTTAGCTTTTAAAAGGTAAAACCCCTTAATAGGGAACATGTGGGGTGGTCAGCAGCACTGTGCATGGCTGTGTCATTTTTTCTTTGTTTTTTAATGAGCAATAAATCTACCTAAGGGGAAGTTCCAAGTAAATATCTATTATCTTTAATCATGTATAGAGTGTATACCTCTCACCCAGCTCTCATTTCACCTTTCTTATCAATCCTATCAAGTTTCCTTCAACAGTACATCCACCCCACCTATCTCTCTTCCGGTTGGCTTCTAGTTTGGTTCAGTTTTAGGACCTCTCCTTTTCCCCCACTATACAGCTCCTCTGACCACATCTCCTCCCCAATCTCCATTTTTTTGCAGATGACATCCATGTCTTCTTCTTTCTCCCATCCTTTACATCTATTCTTTCTTCCCACATCTCTTAGTGTATATCTGATGTTGCCCAGTAGATGCCATCACATTGTATTCTTCTTTTACATTATAAAACACTCTAGATAAGAGCACAATGTAAGAATATCAAATAAATGATTAAATACAATATGATTAAATACAATATTTAGCAGAACTTGAAAAAAGTTACTGTGGACCGCCTGGTACCCCGACTGGGTACCTCCGCCATGCACGATCCCTAGCTATCGCTAGCACCAGCCCCTAGTTCTTACCATCGCTTTCCACCCTGGAACAGGGTCCTGGATCCAGCTTCTAGTGATTAAAGCTCTCTTGCAGAGAGTATAGCTGTATAGCTGGTATGCCCAAACACTAGTCGAGACTGAGTAAGGGTGTAAAGGAACTGGTTTATTATGGCCAAGTTGCCTGCTTTTATACACAGCCCCCAGAATGGGGTCTCTATTCAATGCAAGTCAAGCCCCTCCCATAAATCACTGTACCTGGGAGATAATTGTGTTAAAGACCGGTGACCTAATAATCCCCCAGGATAGAGAGGCAAACAAAGATAAAAATACCCCAAAACATCATAAAAACATAAAATAACCCCACAAATAATACATCCCCTAATAGTCCTGGTCTGAGCACCCAAGTGTCAGGATTACAAGTTGATCCAGCACGCAGTACTGTGCTACATCTAGGACTAAGCATAACGTATAACCGGACCTTAGAATGGCCGGACTTAACATCTCCAAGAATAGTCAAAATACTTGCCGAGGTCAGGGTTACAGAATCAGACACAAAGATGAGGGAAAGCCAAAAAAGGATACCAGATATCAGGGAAGTCAAAACAAATACCAGAAAATCAAGATCAGGAACACACTCTCGGATAACCATAGGCATGAAACCATGACAGGGCAATGAGCAAGAGGAGAATTGGGTTTAAATACCCCTCCTGTGGATCTGATTGGCTGTAACTGGCCTTTGACCCCAAAGGCAATTACCAGGTTTCCATGTGCATGATTGTTGCTCAGCACAAACCCGCCTGTGGATTTGATTGGCCATGACCGGCCTTTGACCCCAAAAGTAATTACCAGGTTTCTATGTGCATGATTGCTGCTCAGCACAACTTTTCCTGTCAGGACAGTAATGTTGCTCAGCACAACTTTTCCTGTCAGGACAGTAAATGCCATTAACCACATTTTTATGTGCGGATGAATACGTGACAGCAAGTTCTCCAAATAGTGCTCAGATCCATGCAGTGATTGGGAAATGCCACCGTGTTAAAGTTCTGACCGGCTGCACACATGGTCCTGTCCCCAAAACTGTTCCAGGGCGTTTGGTACTGTGTCAACTTTTGGGAGCTCCTATGTCCAAAATATAGGGTGCTCCAGCTTGCTCTTAGGTAGCGTTTGTGCCCCTTAGTCTCAGGCTCCTTCTCCAAGTTGAAAAAAGGTTTGCGCTAATAATAAAAAGAATAAAATAAATAAAAGGCAGCAGCCTAATAGGGGGTCACCCTCTAACCCTCTACAGTAAGAGTATACAAAAAAACAGAGAAAAGGTTGCGCCAAGAGAAATAAATAAATATTATACAAACATTTTATTTGGCGCAGCCTTTTCTCTGTTTTTTTGTACCTTCTCCAAGTTGTCCAGGAGTCGCACGGTCACCTCATGCTGAAAACAGTTCTATGATATTTGCGGCTAAATCCCGCCGAGGTGACCGGGAACCCACAAAGTCCTCATACCGAATTTAGTACTGCCCCAATTCGTGGGTTTCTTCATGCGAACGGCTGCCAGAGAGATAGTGTTCTGTTCCATTCGAATGAAGAGAAAGTGCCGAACCAGGGCACCCAGGGAAAGCTGCTAATGGTGGCTGGGGAGGTTTAACTCCCAAACAGGGTCTTTGAATATGGCCCATAGTCCTTGGGCAGGAGGCTAGCTTGCAGGCTCCTCCAGGAGCTCATGGCATAGGCACATTTGCCACAGTTACTAAAATGAAAGTTAATTTAAGTGATTGAGTAAGTAGTACAGGTCTTTGACTAAACAATGACTAAGGAATAGGGGAGCAACATAAGAAGTAACAAAAGATAATTGTTTACTAACACCCCAAGCACCATAAACACTACAGCACACTGGGGTGCCCTGCTCCTTCCCAACATTGTAAGTTGTCAAGCTATTTTAGAACAGTTTAACTTCTTACCTAGAGTCCACTGGGCACCTCTCCCCACCTCCACTACCGACAATGGAAGCTGGAAGTTTTCTGTCTGAGCTAAGCCATACAGGGCTTAGCCCATTGGCTTAGAGTGACCAGCTAAAGCACTTTTGAAGGGCATAGCTCAGGACACTTACTGTAAGCTTCTGCTTAGGAGCATTCAACACTCCCTTGACTGTAGTGGAGACAGGGAGTGGTCCCAGCAGACCCCGAACTGTAACTACTACAGCACACTTGGAGTGATCTTTTAATGCTATGTTTATTTAGCAATCCTAAATCAGGATAAACTGATGAATATGTAAGTCTATATGTCTATTTCTAGAATTTTACAATGTAAGGGAAATTAAACAACAATACAAAAAAGGTTTAGTAGTGCCCGAGTCTATCTAAAAAAAAAAAAAAAATGATTCACTACTAATCAGATTCTAAGTGGTTAAATACACATCTGGTGCAATGGCATTGTTCAAAGCTTTTATGACTTTTTCCACATTAATGTGTGTATGTGCTTAGCGGTAAACTGCATCTGGTACATCAGACACTTTCCCTTGCAGCATCTGGAGTAAATAATGGCACGAATGGCAAGCTATCATATCCATAGTTCTATTTGATGTGTAACTTAATGTTTGGACTTGTGGATGCACATGAATACAAATGAGGAGGCAACTTGGCATAAATTAGAACATCCACTGGCATTCTTTGTGATCTAAAACACTGTCCAATGACTTAAAGAATGCATTGCTAAACAACTGAAAAGTGATAAATCATCCTGATACTTTGCAGTCTCATTTAGACAGACTCATGGACTCATGGTGTTTATTCCACCAAATGTTTCAACCTCAGAGTGTTTGTTATTTATTACATAAAGGAGATAACAATCGAAGGCTGGACCAACTTTGGTGCCACTTTTAAATTTGGCTACTTTCTCTTATTTACACAAAACCCATAGATAGAAAGACCAGGCACCTGAGAGGTCCAATATAGTACATATATTCTACCAATTTCACCTATCTACTTTACTAATACTATCCTTACCTTTCGTGTCAATTTATCCCACTTCCTATAGCATGTAAGCTCATTGCGCAGGACCCTCAAACCCTCTGTTGCTGTGCGTCAAACTTGTCTGGTTACAATTACATGTTTGTTAGTCCACCCATTGTAAAGCGCTAAGCAATTTGGTTGGTGCTATATACAAATAATAATAATAATAATATTGATAATAATAATAATAACATATTGGAGCACAATTAAATTTTGGCTCTTTACAGGAGCTTGAAAAGGGCTCCTGTGAAGAGCAACGATTTTGTAACCGTCCTTCCTCCCCAGAGGCAGTGTGAGTTCCTGGGAACGGAGACAACCGGTCTCGTTCCCCAGCACCAGGTTCCAGAGACTGGTGACTTGAGAGATTTCACACAGGAGGTCCAGAGAGAGAAGTGTTCAGTCCTTCCTCCCCAGCGGCAGTGTGAGGTGCAGGGAGCGGAGACAACCGATCACATCCCCCAGCGGCAGTGTGAGGTGCAGGGAATGAAGACAACCAGTCTCATTCCCCAGTGGCAGAGTGAGTTCCTGGGAGTGGTGACAATTGGTCTCATTCCCCAGCAGTGGAGTGAGATCCAGGGGGAGATGGAGGATTGCTCCCCAGTATCCCAAGCAGCGCCGGGGGGGGGGGGAGCACAGTCGGATCTCCTCCCCAGAAGTCAGCCAAGTCCCCAGGGAGACACAGGAAGCAGAGCCACAACGGACGTCACAAACAACACCCATCATCCCAAGCCAACCGGAAAAACAGCAGGGACACAGGTGATGGAATGGCCGGAGGGACACACTTGTTTGGGTGGGGGTTTTCACAGGCTCAGATGCCCCTGTGTACCGGGGCCTGAGCTGGGTGGCGTCCCTGGCTAAAGACATTGTATGTCTAAGTCACCCTGTACCTAGGAGGGTTCAAGGTGCAAAGCCGGCCAGACCCCAGGACTGTAGGGACTGGCTGAGGACAGTTGCTGTGCGGTCGTGGCACTCACAGACTGTGTCCACTCCAGACAGCAGCGAGGTGATCCGTGTAGATCATACTGCGGCTGTCAGAGGTGAACAAGGTGGAGATGTAGCTCGCATCCACCCCTATTTAACACCAGACGCGGCTAAGGTGCTAGTCTATGCTGTTGTTATTTCTCGCCTTGACTCAATTTAAGATTCTAGTTCTTGCTTACAAGTCCCTACATAATACTGCTCCAAACTACCTATCCTCCCTAATACACAAGTATGTCCCGTCGAAGCCCCTGCGCTCTGCCAAAGACCTACATCTATCCTCTGTCCGTACACCCACATCTGATGCTCGCCTCCAAGACTTCTCCAGGTCTGCCCCTTTTCTGTGGAACTCCCTTCCCTTCTCCGTTAGACTTTTACCCAGTCTCCACTCCTTCAAAAAAATCATTGAAATCCCACTTCTTCAGGAAAGCATATAATTTAAACTGTTAGTGGGTTTTCATTCCGCCCCCCCATGACTCCTCCCCTACAAGTGTCAAAATAACCTACTAAGTTCTCAGTAAATACTTTTCTAGCAACCTATTTCATTACCCCTACTTATACCCTGTGTGTCACTATACCCCACTCCCTCTAACATGTAAGCTCATTGAGCAGGGCCCTCAGCCCCTCTGTTCCTTTGCCTCCATTTGTCTGGTTACAATTATGTGTCTATTAGTCCACCCATTGAACAGCGCTATGGAATTTGCTGGGGCTATATAAATAATAAAATAATAATTATAATAATATAATTAATAATTGTGCTATATTGGATCTCTTGATGCCTGGTCTTCCTATCTACAAGCTTCAGGGTGTGAGTTATGCTGGAAACCTTGCAGGATCAATAGTTTGGTGGACTAAACAATTCACCCCTCAATGTAAAAACCACACTTTGGCAGAATAAACTCATGTCAAAAACCCTTATGCTAATGTGAAATATCTTCACCCCATGGCGGAATAAGGTTATTAAAGGAACATATCAAGCACCATAGCCACTGCAATAGTAGTCATAGTGCCATTACCTCCCAGTGTAAAATCTAAAGGGGTCTGTTGGGCTTGTGCTGCCTGTTAACCATAGTCTGGATTTTCAACTTTATAATTTATTTTACTGTCAATGAGGAACTAGGGGAACCTGTGACACTGGATTTAGAAGATTGTTAGGTTGTACTGGTCATTCTAACTCTTGTAATACATGTTAGGCTCAATCACAAATAAGGATTTTTGTTACTAATTATTTCTCTCCTGCAGCTTAATGATGGGCATGTTGGAGAAGTGTCTTTATGCCTGTCTGAAAAATAGAAGTATTTGTTATTTTCACCCTTGTTGACTAGAGTATTTTAACTTTAAATATTGCATAACAGTTTGTACACATACTTTGAATTGTACATCATTTGAGATCGAGTGATAACGCCCAGTTAAGCTTTCACTACATAGAGGCGAGGGACTTAAGAATATAAACGTAGGCAGTGTTAATCATATAAATACTCACAGGTAGTTTTACCATAATACTGGCATATGAGGGTAGTTTGACATAGATAAAGTATACTACAGATCATAAATCTAAGGTTTTGTCATAACAAACACAAAGTGTTGTCAATTGTAGTTTGAATAACACATGGACTCAATATAGTGGACTTTATTTAGTAATATGGTTTACCATTACGTTTTCTATGTAAGATTGTCATCTATATCTATTAATCAAACGCCTATCGTACTTTTATATAACATGTAAACAACAAGCCCTAATTTTACACTCTCATAACAACTAAGAAAATCCAGTGACCAAAAGGAATTTTAAATGTAACTTTATTCAGTCTTTTTTAGATTTTAGAACCCTAATGTTTATGTTATAATTGAAGGTTATAGTGGTTATAAGTGCCTTGCACTATAATTCCTTCTGCCCCGCCCCCCCCCTCGCAAAACTCCCCTGCACTAGCCTTTCCCCTGGCGCTGCAAGTGTTAAATAGCACTTGACACTGGTCCTGCACTCCACCTCTTCTGACTTCATCTGACAGGGGGGTGCGGGTAGGGTAAGGGGATGGGGGGGCTAATGTGCAGAGAGTGCTGCAAGTGCATTAGGTCCTCCCCATAAGGAATGCATTGCTTCAGTGCTTTCCCATGGGGTTATTACTGATGTTGGATGTTCTTATGCAGAACGAGAAGATGTCCAGCATCAGTTAGGCAATCTAAAGTTGCCTAGCAAGCAGGAAGTACATCCAGTGACCGACTGATTAACAGCCACTAGAGGCAGTCTTAGTCCTGCAATATAATCATTGCAGTTTCTCAAAAACTGCAATGATTTACATTGCAGGACTAAGAGGGACACAGGTCTTCAATGAGCAGAAGTGGTATGTGTGCCTATAGTGTTCCTTTAAAGGCAGAGCAAAACAATTTGACGGAGTTGGGCCAGAGAGGGGGC